CACATGGCCAGTTAGCGAGATGGACTTGGCCTTGAGGTACTCGTGCACGGCGCTGTCATACTCGTGCTTGCGCAGGTGGGCGCGGATGGCGGATGGCATGTTGAAGAGCGTGCGGAACCGCAGCAGCAGCCCCTGCACCGACTGGATGCGCTGCACTTGCGCCTGGCAGAGGGGGAGGGGGTGTGGGTGTGGGTGCATGGGTGGCGATAGAAACAGGGATGGGAAAAAGGGAGCATGGGCAAAAGGGAGCATTGGAGCATGCTCATCAGCAGCAGCCCCTGCACTGACTGGATGCGCTGCACTTGTGCCTGGCGTGGGGGGCGGGGGTGGGCACGTGGGTGGGAGAGAAGAGAAGGGAAGTTGCATAAATAAGCAAGAGAAAGAGGAAGGATGGGAAGTGGGCATGGGGGAGAGCAGGACGGCCGAACAGGGACGAGCAAAGACCAGAAAGGCAGTGGCACAAGGCCAATAAAAGGAGCACGGCCAGCAACACAGCACCACAAAAGTGGCAGCTGGCGAGCATTCCTGATTCATCCCCTTCCAGACACACTCTGCTGCGACAGCAGGCAAGCGTTCATTCAAGAGCAAACGCACTCTGCGTTCGAGCAGCGGGCCGAAGGCGGTCTTGGAGTGATGGTCGACGTTGAAGATGGCGGCTGCCAGTGTGTCCAACGCACAGTCCCTCTTCATTGATGCTAGCCCCCGCTCGATGTCTGCATGAGCACACACGCACACATGCATGATAGAGAGGCATGCGTGGAAGGGGGGGAGAGACAGCGGTCTTGGAGTGGTGGTCGACGTTGAATATGGCGGCTGCCAGTGTGTCCAACGCACAGTCCCTCTTCATTGATGCTAGCCCCCGCTCGATGTCTGCATGCGCACATAAGCACAGTGTGGAGGGAGGGGAGCGAGGGATGAGAGGGGAAAGGCGTGAAAGGGGTGAGAGGGACCAGTGTGTCCAGCGCACAGTCCCTCTTCATTCATGCCAGCCCCCACTCGATGTCTGCAGCACGCACGCACGATAGAGAGACAGACGCAGGGAGGGAGGGATGAGAGAGTTGAGGTGTGAGAGGAGTAAGCGTGTCTGCATGAGCACATGAGCACAGCGTGGAAGGAAGGGAGCGAGGGTGAGAGGCGTGAGAAGGGAGAGCGGGGAGAGTGCGGAGAGACGGGTGGAGAGCATTCATAGCACAAGAGACGAACCAGGCACACAGCTCTGAATCACCTTGAAGTGCACCCTATGAAAGAGCTTGTCAGGTCACACTTGCACTCCCTCCCTAGCCTATCACATGAGCCTGTCCCCCTTACTTCAGGACGTTCTTAACCTGAGTAATCTCCTGGTACCCACAACCACAAACCCAGCAGCATCCAGCAGTACTGATGGTTTTGCAGGAAATGAAGCACTGGCCGACCCACCGTTGATGGTGGTTTTGCAGGAGATGAAGCAGTCGAAGTTGTTCTGCACGAGGCGCTTGAGCTGCTCCTTCTCGCGCTGCATCGTCTCGCCCACCTTCTCCCGCCCCTCCTCCAGCTCGCGCGCACTGCTGCCCCCGTGCACCACTGTCAGGTACAGCATCGGCTCAAACGCCTCGTCCAGATTCACCAGCATCTCTGCATGCAAGGGTAAGGGGTGGGATGGCATGGCATGCAGTGCAGATGGGAGTTGAACACTGCTCTGCTCGCTGCCCCCGTGCACCACTGTCAGGTACAGCATCGGCTCAAACGCCTCGTCCAGATTCACCAGCATCTCTGCATGCAAGGGTAAGGGGTGGGATGGCATGGCATGCAGTGCAGATGGGAGTTGAACACTGCTCTGCTCGCTGCCCCCGTGCACCACTGTCAGGTACAGCATCGGCTCAAACGCCTCGTCCAGATTCACCAGCATCTCTGCACGTGGGGGTAAGATGGGAGGGTGGCATACACAATGGACCAGGGCTTGATTGCACTTCATGGACGTGGGGCCAGCCGTGCCCTGTCACGCACATTCATGTGCCACGTCAGCATGCATGCATGCGCAGACCCACAAAATCGCATGCACATGTAAACACACGGAATGCCAGTCAGCAGCAAGCAAGAATGGAGAGACATGCCTACAATATCCATGCCAAAACTCTCTACCTAGGGTCACAACATTCGCCTGAGCAGCCCCACACCAGCCTGAATGAACTGAACGCAGCAAGGACAGTTCCTGACTGACCTGGGTGGAGTGAGCGGTCGGGCGCAGGCTTGCCCTTGTCGTAGCGGCTCTGCAGACACATGTGCTCCACGTCCAGTGGCCTGCCGTAGGCGTAGAGTAGACACACGCGCACACAAACACCCACACGCACACGTGCGCACAGGAAGGGAAGCACAACGGTTGGGAGATGGACGGTAGGAGGCAGCGGAGCAGAGGGGTAGAGAAAGAGGCAGGCAGAAGCAAGAGGTGGAGCGAGGAAGCACATGGACGGGCGAGGAGGGAGCGTGCAGGAGCCAAGGAGGAAGGGTATACGGAGTGCAGTCAGGCAGCCAATGCCTGGCGGTGCGTGACGGGTAAATTATAACGCACTGGACAGGACTCGCCACTCACCCCAAGCTGAGGAGGGGTCATGGTGCTGAAGCTCAGAGGCTCATTGGTGCTCCACTGAGGCACTGCCTGCAAGTGACCGCACTTGCAGCCTCTCTACGGGATGAAAGGGCATGGCACTCACCCCAGGCCGAGCGGGTCCATGATGGTGGACCCCAGCGGCTCGTCCGTGCTGCCCTGAGTCACTGCCTGTGAGGGGCCTCTCGAGCTTACATGGCGAAGCTTGAAGGTGCATGACAGGGTCGCACATGATGTTGAGTGATTTGACACGGAGACGGAGCACTCACCCCAGGCCGAGCGGGTCCATGATGGTGGACCCCAGCGGCTCGTCCGTGCTGCCCTGGGTCACCGCCTGCGACCGCACATTTGCCCGCCCGCCCAGTGCTGCTCGCAGCTCCCGCACCTTCCGCATCAGCTGCCCTCTCCAACGTGCGTGCGAGTGAGTGAGTAAGTGAGCAAGTGAGTGAGTGGGTGAGTGGGAGAGGAATCGTAAGAGAGGAGGGGACGAAGAAGATGACCATAAAGACATGAACAACGCATCATTTCCAGTACAGAACGCCCAGGTCAGTGATTGTTCTCACACACTCACTCAGAGCTACACAGCCGCACAAGCCCCGTGACCCCCAAAACCAGCCACAGAAACCCCACACCCTTCCCCACCACCACTGCACGAACCGCATGCCCTCGCAGCAGAAGGGCCCTACACTCACCAACGCTGCTCCCAGCAGCATCCCTTGGCCCGCCAGCCCAGTCACGAGCCCCTGCCTCGCAGCTCCCAGGGAGGTGGCTGAATGCACTGAGCCTGGAGCGCACTGCCACTCACCGCGTCCTCGCCGACTTGGTCCCACGACGCGGGCTCTCCCCCGTCGCCCAACTCCAGGGCTCCGTACCGCCGTGTCCCCATCCGCGTTAGAGCACGCGACGATTCCCACTGCACACGTGGATTCCATCCATTGGTCGAAAGCGATGGGGATAAATTTCATGAGGCTAATTTCTAAGGGTTACAAGAATGACTAACTAAAGAATGGCATGTGATCCGCAAGTCAAGGAGACTGAAAGCTGTTAGCCTATAAAGTTGCGTAAGGAAAGGGGTCTGAGATTGCACCTTCGCCGGCGTGCGCGGCGTCATCGCCGGGACGCTCGGGCCGCCTTCATCGTCCTCGTCGGACGAGATGCTCAGAATCTCGTCATCGTCCGAATCGTCGTCGTCGTCGTCGTCGTCTTCGTCCGCCTTTACGTCGCGAGCTAACTTAGTCGCTTGCTGTCTAGGCGCGCTCTGCGTTGCGGCGCCGCGTGACGCGGCGGTCGACCCGCTACGGCCAAAGCGGCTCGGCTTGTCTCGCCCAGCGAGCCTGTCTAGGAGGGAGTAGCGCTTCTCCGACGGCTTGCCGCCTCGCGACACGACGCGCACGAGCGACGCCATGCTTGGCGACGCTGCGCGCTGTTACGACGCTGAAAACGCTCTTAAGGTGTGAATGCGAACATATAAGACGCTAAGGACGCTCTGCGAACTCAAATGCGAACACGGGTTGCTAAGGACGGTCTAAGGGATGAATGCGAGCGTGAGACGTTTCGGATGCTCTAAGGATGTGACGCACGGCTCGCTATTGCTTTGAAATTACTCACTACACACGGAATCAGTGAAATTACTCCTGCAGATGAGCTCAGGCAATCAGTCAGCAGAAGTCCGAAAGTGGAGTTCCAATCCCAGATGGAACGCTAGTTTGCCAGGGTGGAGGGGGAGATGCCCTTGAAAGTGTTGCTGGATGGCAGGCATTCCCGAGGTTTCGCCAGAGAGTGACGAGCTACTCTGTCTCAAAACGTGCTTTTGTACACTTAATAAGAAAAGCAAATGCTACGGGCAGATCCCAAGGGAATGTCAAATACCCAAACCACTCCCAAGGTTGGTGGTAATGCCTTGGGAAAATCGGTTTTTTGGCGGAACCAAAGAAGGTGACTGTAGCGAGCGCATTTTCAGTCGTGGTTGCAGACCGGTGTAGGGAAGACAGCAACACCACCCGTGTTCTGACATGCTGGCTCCCGTATTTTGATGTCCGCCATTGTCTCGTCACTCTCAGTAGCAGCTTCTGCGGGAGCAACTATCGCTATTTCGCCGGGGCAACGGACACTAGGCTCCGAGCTTAGGTTTGACCTTTAATTTTATTTCTCGACCGCCTTCTGCTAGAGCTCTTTCTCGTTTCCTGACATTACTCCCCAAGCTTAGGTATTTCTGCGAGAGCCTCGTGCCGCCATGGACGACGATGAGCCGGAGCGCTTAGGAGGCCGCACCTCGTCGCTCACGCATAAAGTAACTTCCGCCGCCGCCGCCGCCGCTCGCGGGGCCACGCAAACCCTCTCCGCCGGCGAAGGCCGATCGAAGCGCGCCGCTACAGTGGGAAGCGGAAGGTCCACGGAAGCTTCGGATGCGACGAGCTCCATGCGACGAGCTGCGACGGGGGCCCTGGCGTCGAAAATCGCACAGCCGCAGCAGGCGGCGAAGAACCTCGTGAAGGTTTTCGCCAAGGCGAAGGGCGGCGTGGGGAAGCGCATTGCGCGCGCGCAGACGGCTGTCCGCGCGCGCACGGGGATTGGGCGGCGGGGCGGAGCGCAGGACGGGGACGGGGGGGAGGAGGAGGAGGAGGATGAGGAGGATGACGACGACGACGATGAGTCGGAGGCCGAAGACTCGGACGCCGAGGGCGGCGCGGGGTCGTCCGATGACGAAGAGAAACCCAAGGAGGGTCCCACCAAGGTGAGGCTCCCACCAAGGTGACCACAGGGGAATTGCGACGGAGATGTGTCAGAAGCAATTACGGTCGCTAAATCAGTCATGACTGTGCTGCAAGTCCCTGGATGATCAGTACGTGCCCCCCCTTCCCGCTCCCCAGTTTGTGGAACTGTCACCGTCAGAGGCTTACCGGAAATTGCGAGACTAGCTCCACCCCGTATCTCTCTCCCTCCTCGCCCTCCGTCTCTTGTGCAGGGAGGGAAATTTCTGCGCAGCTTGCCGTCGCGGCGCATTTCGATCTATAACGCGGATGGCTTCATGATGGACGATGAGGATGCGTCGGAGTGGAGCATGGTCAACGAGGACGTGGTGAGTCAACGAGGACGTGGTGAGTCAACGATGACGTGGTGAGTCAACGAGGACGTGGTGAGTCAACGAGGACGTGGTGAGTCAACGAGGACGTGGTGAGTCAACGGGGACGTGGTGAGTCAACGAGGACGTGGTGAGTCAACGAGGACGCGGTATGTCACGGACGGTCCGGATGCATTGGCTGCTTGAGTCTGTGAGTTGAGTTGATGGATGGCCAGGATACATTCTAATGCAGCGTGGCTACTCTCACAGCATGAGGTATCCGTCTCAATCCATGTAAGTAAGGCTCTTTGCGCCATTCATCTCAACTTCTTCCAATGCTTCTACCCTAATAATTCCGCTGGTCCTTCCCTCTCTGTACGCCATGCTGGCCGCAAAGGTCCTGAGCTGCGCCTCCTGCCTTTGCCTCTCTGCCGTACCGCACCGCACTGCACGCCCCCTCCCCTCACCTTCCCTCCTGCTGCCCGTCCCGTCCTCTTGCCACATCCTTCTACCCTCGCTTCTCCCCACCCCACTCCCCCCTTTCATCTGCTGCACAAGGTGCGAGAGCCGCTTGCAATAGAACAATTTCCCCACACCTCGTATTCCTCCTTCCCCCTCCCACCTTCCCCCCCCCTCATTCCCTTCCCCCCCCCCCCAGTTGGTGCGCAAGGTGCGGGAGCTGAGGGAGCTGAGGGGCGACTTTGCGTCCGCCACCAACGCGCCAGCCACCAAGTCCGCTCTAGAGGGGCTCGGCCTCTCTGAACTCAACGACCCGCTTGGCTACGGGTGAGCAGTGTGGTGCGGTGCGGTGCGGTGCAGGTGATAGATATGCTGCTCTCCTCCTCCCCTGCTCTGCCCCCATGCGCCCTTCTTCTCCGCCCTCGCTCCCTCCCCCTCATCCCCCTCTCACTCCATCCGTGCTCTCTCTCCTCCTGGTCTCTCCCCTTTCCTCCTCGTTCCCCTCTCACCCTTCCGTCCCGGTGACCCTCAACCAACCCTGCGCCTACCAGGCCGCTGAACCGTGTGAAGGTCCGTCTCGCCATCAACGCCTCCCCTGCTGCCATTCATGCTCTGCTCTGCTCCAAACCCCAACCCTCCCCCATGCTCTCCCCCCTTCTCCTTCTCTCCCCCTCGAATCAACCGTCAGCCCGCTGAACCGTGTGAAGGTGTGTCTCGCTATCAACGCCTCTACCATCCCCGTTCCTGACGACCGCAGCATGGCCGGTGAGAGGGGGGGCATGGCGAGTGTGGCCGGTGGAAGAGGGGGGCATGGCCGGTGAGAGGGGGGTGTGTGGTGGCCGGTAAGCAAGGGGGGATGGGGGTGGGGGGGTGTGAGAGAGGGGAGTGTGGTGGTCGAGAAGGAGTATGGCAGGTGAGAAAGAAGTACGGCGGGTGAAAAAGACTATGGGCGTCAACCCGCGGTGGGCGTCAACCCACGGTGGTACTCCCATCAAGCAACTGAGTGTGTTTTCTTTTCCTCTCTCCTCTCCCACCTTCCCTCTCCCCTCTCCCCTCTATCCCCTCCCCCCCCCCTCACCCTTCCCCCCTCTCCTCTCGCCCATCACAGAGACGATCATAGTGTTCGGCCCCAAGTTCAGCCCGTCCATCTACCTGGGTCGCGTGCACGACGACAATTGGTGGTGGCAGGTCTATCAAGCAACTGAGTCTGCGTCCTTACCCTCACCCTCCTCCCCTCTCCCCGTTCCTCTTCCAGAGAAGATCATTGTATTCGGTCCCAAGTTCAGCCCGTCCTTCTACCTGGGGCGGGTGCACGACGACACATCCCTGGACGAGCTGAGGGCGGGCCTGGGGACGCTGGGAGCGGACATGGAGAACCAGCAGCAGCAGCTCAAGACGCTCGTCAAAGAGAACTTTGACTCCTTCGTCTCTTGCAAATCCACCATCGAAGGTGCGTGCCCCGTGCGTACGCCATGCTCTATGCACCCATGGCCACTCTGGGAGCGGACATGGAGAACCAGCAGCAGCAGCTTCTCAAGGAGAACTTTGATTCTTTCGTCTCCTGCAAGTCCACCATCGAAGGTTCATGCGTGTGCCCTGAGCTATGCGCCCATGGCGTGGGTGGGTTGGCCACTGTCCATGAAAAAGCCGCACCCTAGTTTCGCTTCCTTATGCATTCAGAAGAAGGTGCATGAGGTGGAGAGCTGGTTTTTGGGATGTGCCCTCTTCTGATGCGAGCGACACACAAATGTAACTGTCTGGTATCACCATCCCTTGCATCCACCACCTCGTCCCACCTCCCCCTCGTCCGTGCAGACATAGAGAAGACTTTTGAGTCGACTCAAAACACAAATGTAACTGTCTGTCTGGTATCACCATTGTTTGCATCCACCACCTCGTCCTGTATCCCTCCGTGCAGACATAGAGAAGAAGGTGCGCGAGGTGGAGACGTGGTTTCCACTTGCTATCACCACACCACGCCACTCTCCCCCCTCCCCCTCCCCCCACTCCGTGCAGACATAGAGAAGAAGGTGCGCGAGATGGAGATGTGGTTGCCTATTGTTATCACCACCACCAGGCCACTCTCCCCCCTTTCCCTCCCCCTCCCCTCGTCCGTGCAGACATAGAGAAGAAGGTGCGGGAGATGGAGACGTGGTTGCCACTTGCTATGACCACACCACGCCACTCTCCCCCCTCCCCCTCCCCCTCCCCTCGTCCGTGCAGACATAGAGAAGAAGGTGCGCGAGATGGAGACGTAGTTGCCACTTGCTATCACCACACCACGCCACTCTCCCCCCTCCCCCTCCCCCTCCCCTCGTCCGTGCAGACATAGAGAAGAAGGTGCGGGAGATGGAGCGGCGCAGTGACAGCGGCACGGAGGAGATTCTGGTGGCCATCGGCAACGTGCACGACATGGCTCAGGCTGCCTTCGGCCCGCTGCTCGACCGCCAGGTGGGTGTGAATGAGGAGCATGCATGTGGGCAAGGCAAGCTGCATGAGGAGATTCTGGTGGCCATCGGCAACGTGCACGACATGGCTCAGGCTGCCTTTGGCCGCTACTTGACCGCCAGGTGGGGTATGAGTGAATGAGGAGCATGCATGTGGGCAAGGCAATCGGCACGGAGGAGAGGTGGCGCAGGCTGCCTTGGGGCCGCTGCTTGGACCGCCAGGTGGGCTGTGAATGAGGGCCAATGGGCCATGCAGGTGTGCAGTGCAGTGCACACAGAGAGGTGGTATGAAGGCAGGGCAGGGGGGATTTTGTTTGTGGACGTGCTTGTTTCCTCTTCAGGGGGGATTTTGTTCAGGGGTGAAGGCAGGGGGGATTTTGTTTGTGGACGTGCTTGTTTCCTCTTCAGATTCGCTAGTTTCCATATTTTCAAAGAGTGAAAGCAAGTCGAACACACACGATAGGTGCACAAGCTGCTGCTCCTGAGTCCTGACTCAGTTGAGCTCCTGCGTTCGTTCACCCTTTCCATCCCACTTGCCTCCCCAGGGGAGGGTGGCGTGGTGGTGATAACAATAGGCAACCACATCTCCCCTGCCCTTGTCCACACACTCCCCGGCCTCCCCCCTTGCATTATTTCCCTTATCCCCTGTCTCCCCTCTCCCCTCCCTTCCCCCCCGAGCAGAAGCAAGTGGACCGCATTCGGTCGGTGCAGAGGCTGCTGCTGTCTCGTCTCGGGCCCCTGTGACTCCCCTTTGATCTCCCCTGTCTCCCCTCTCCCCTCCCCTCCCCCGAGCAGAAGCAAGTGGACCGCATTCGGTCGGTGCAGAGGCTGCTGCTGTCTCGTCTCGGGCCCCTGTGACTCCCCTTTGATCTCCCCTGTCTCCCCTCTCCCCTCCCCTCCCCCGAGCAGAAGCAAGTGGACCGCATTCGGTCGGTGCAGGGGCTGCTGCTGCGCTTCCGCACGCTCTTCAACCTGCCAGCTGTCATGCGTGGATTCGTCCAGCACGGCGAGTACGACCGCGCCGTGCACGAGTACCTCAAGGCCAAGTCCATCTCGCTGCCCGCGCACGTGAGTGGGTCAGATTAAAGCCCAGTTTACATGTGTAAAGGTATGTGGTGATTGAGTTGATACACGAGTACCTCAAGGCCAAGTCCATCTCGCTGCCCGCGCACGTGAGTCGGCTGCCTTAAAGCCCAACAGTCCATTTCTCAGGGCATTCGCGAGTGCTTTGAAGCTCAGTTAAGGCTCGGAGCACAAGAGTATATCAAGGCCAGGTCCATCGTGCTGCCTGCGAATGTGAGTGTGCTTGCTGCTCGTCATCGTCTTCAGCGGTCATCTCGGTGAAATTGGTCCATCCGGCTCACAATCATTCACATACGATGTCATGTCACCCTGGTATCTTTCAACCCATGTGTCATGTGTCACCCTAAGGAGTAATTTCCTTGCTTTCTCTTTTTCCTCGTTCATCCTCCCTCTCCCCATGGCAGTCCAACATCCTGCGGCGGGTGATGGCGGAGGTGCACAAGGTGGTGGCGGAGTTTCACGAGGTGCTCTTTGCCAAGATGGACGACCCCAACGCCGATCAGGCGCAGGTGAGGGCACAGCAGCACATGAGATGAGATGAGCGCGACACATGGGGTGAACAGGCACATGGGGCACATGGGGCTGCATGGGTGGGGGGGCTTTAAGGAGTTCCACGAGGTGCTCTTTGCCAAGATGGACGACCCCAACGCCGACCAGGCGCAGGTGAGGGCACAGCAGCACATGAGATGAGATGAGCGCGACACATGGGGTGAACAGGCACATGGGGCACATGGGGCTGCATGGGTGGGGGGGCTTTAAGGAGTTCCACGAGGTGCTCTTTGCCAAGATGGACGACCCCAACGCCGATCAGGCGCAGGTGAGGGCACAGCAGCACATGAGATGAGATGAGCGCGACACATGGGGTGAACAGGCACATGGGGCACATGGGGCTGCATGGGTGGGGGGGCTTTAAGGAGTTCCACGAGGTGCTCTTTGCCAAGATGGACGACCCCAACGCCGACCAGGCGCAGGTGAGGGCACAGCAGCACATGAGATGAGATGAGCGCGACACATGGGGTGAACAGGCACATGGGGCACATGGGGCTGCATGGGTGGGGGGGCTTTAAGGAGTTCCACGAGGTGCTCTTTGCCAAGATGGACGACCCCAACGCCGACCAGGCGCAGGTGAGGGCACAGCAGCACATGAGATGAGATGAGATGAGCGCGACACATGGGGTGAACAGGCACATGGGGCACATGGGGCTGCATGGGTGGGGGGGCTTTAAGGAGTTCCACGAGGTGCTCTTTGCCAAGATGGACGACCCCAACGCCGACCAGGCGCAGGTGAGGGCACAGCAGCACATGAGATGAGATGAGCGCGACACATGGGGTGAACAGGCACATGGGGCACATGGGGCTGCATGGGTGGGGGGGCTTTAAGGAGTTCCACGAGGTGCTCTTTGCCAAGATGGACGACCCCAACGCCGACCAGGCGCAGGTGAGGGCACAGCAGCACATGAGATGAGATGAGCGCGACACATGGGGTGAACAGGCACATGGGGCACATGGGGCTGCATGGGTGGGGGGGCTTTAAGGAGTTCCACGAGGTGCTCTTTGCCAAGATGGACGACCCCAACGCCGACCAGGCGCAGGTGAGGGCACAGCAGCACATGAGATGAGATGAGCACGACACATGGGGTGAACAGGCACATGGGGCACATGGGGCTGCATGGGTGGGGGGGCTTTAAGGAGTTCCACGAGGTGCTCTTTGCCAAGATGGACGACCCCAACGCCGACCAGGCGCAGGTGAGGGCACAGCAGCACATGAGATGAGATGAGCGCGACACATGGGGTGAACAGGCACATGGGGCACATGGGGCTGCATGGGTGGGGGGGCTTTAAGGAGTTCCACGAGGTGCTCTTTGCCAAGATGGACGACCCCAACGCCGATCAGGCGCAGGTGAGGGCACAGCAGCACATGAGATGAGATGAGCGCGACACATGGGGTGAACAGGCACATGGGGCACATGGGGCTGCATGGGTGGGGGGGCTTTAAGGAGTTCCACGAGGTGCTCTTTGCCAAGATGGACGACCCCAACGCCGACCAGGCGCAGGTGAGGGCACAGCAGCACATGAGATGAGATGAGCGCGACACATGGGGTGAACAGGCACATGGGGCACATGGGGCTGCATGGGTGGGGGGGCTTTAAGGAGTTCCACGAGGTGCTCTTTGCCAAGATGGACGACCCCAACGCCGATCAGGCGCAGGTGAGGGCACAGCAGCACATGAGATGAGATGAGCGCGACACATGGGGTGAACAGGCACATGGGGCACATGGGGCTGCATGGGTGGGGGGGCTTTAAGGAGTTCCACGAGGTGCTCTTTGCCAAGATGGACGACCCCAACGCCGACCAGGCGCAGGTGAGGGCACAGCAGCACATGAGATGAGATGAGCGCGACACATGGGGTGAACAGGCACATGGGGCACATGGGGCTGCATGGGTGGGGGGGCTTTAAGGAGTTCCACGAGGTGCTCTTTGCCAAGATGGACGACCCCAACGCCGACCAGGCGCAGGTGAGGGCACAGCAGCACATGAGATGAGATGAGCGCGACACATGGGGTGAACAGGCACATGGGGCTACATGGGTGGGGGGGCTTTAAGGAGTTCCACGAGGTGCTCTTTGCCAAGATGGACGACCCCAACGCCGACCAGGCGCAGGTAGGTGGGAGTTGGGGTGCACACGGGGCACAGGGATGCATGGTTACAGGGGCACATATGTGGGGTTACAGGGGCACATGAGTGGGGCTCCTGACGAGTTTCATGAGGTGCTCTTTGCCAAGATGGACGACCCCAACGCCGACCAGGCGCAGGTGAGGGCACAGCAGCACATGAGATGAGATGAGCGCGACACATGGGGTGAACAGGCACATGGGGCACATGGGGCTGCATGGGTGGGGGGGCTTTAAGGAGTTCCACGAGGTGCTCTTCGCCAAGATGGACGACCCCAACGCCGACCAGGCGCAGGTGAGGGCACAGCAGCACATGAGATGAGATGAGCGCGACACATGGGGTGAACAGGCACATGGGGCACATGGGGCTGCATGGGTGGGGGGGCTTTAAGGAGTTCCACGAGGTGCTCTTTGCCAAGATGGACGACCCCAACGCCGACCAGGCGCAGGTGAGGGCACAGCAGCACATGAGATGAGATGAGCGCGACACATGGGGTGAACAGGCACATGGGGCACATGGGGCTGCATGGGTGGGGGGGCTTTAAGGAGTTCCACGAGGTGCTCTTTGCCAAGATGGACGACCCCAACGCCGACCAGGCGCAGGTGAGGGCACAGCAGCACATGAGATGAGATGAGCGCGACACATGGGGTGAACAGGCACATGGGGCACATGGGGCTGCATGGGTGGGGGGGCTTTAAGGAGTTCCACGAGGTGCTCTTTGCCAAGATGGACGACCCCAACGCCGACCAGGCGCAGGTGAGGGCACAGCAGCACATGAGATGAGATGAGCGCGACACATGGGGTGAACAGGCACATGGGGCACATGGGGCTGCATGGGTGGGGGGGCTTTAAGGAGTTCCACGAGGTGCTCTTTGCCAAGATGGACGACCCCAACGCCGACCAGGCGCAGGTGAGGGCACAGCAGCACATGAGATGAGATGAGCGCGACACATGGGGTGAACAGGCACATGGGGCACATGGGGCTGCATGGGTGGGGGGGCTTTAAGGAGTTCCACGAGGTGCTCTTTGCCAAGATGGACGACCCCAACGCCGACCAGGCGCAGGTGAGGGCACAGCAGCACATGAGATGAGATGAGCGCGACACATGGGGTGAACAGGCACATGGGGCACATGGGGCTGCATGGGTGGGGGGGCTTTAAGGAGTTCCACGAGGTGCTCTTTGCCAAGATGGACGACCCCAACGCCGACCAGGCGCAGGTAGGTGGGAGTTGGGGTGCACACGGGGCACAGGGATGCATGGTTACAGGGGCACATATGTGGGGTTACAGGGGCACATGTGTGGGGCTCCTGACGAGTTTCATGAGGTGCTCTTTGCCAAGATGGACGACCCCAACGCCGACCAGGCGCAGGTGAGGGCACAGCAGCACATGAGATGAGATGAGCGCGACACATGGGGTCAACAGGCACATGGGGCACATGGGGCTGCATGGGTGGGGGGGCTTTAAGGAGTTCCACGAGGTGCTCTTTGCCAAGATGGACGACCCCAACGCCGACCAGGCGCAGGTGAGGGCACAGCAGCACATGAGATGAGATGAGCGCGACACATGGGGTGAACAGGCACATGGGGCACATGGGGCTGCATGGGTGGGGGGGCTTTAAGGAGTTCCACGAGGTGCTCTTTGCCAAGATGGACGACCCCAACGCCGACCAGGCGCAGGTGAGGGCACAGCAGCACATGAGATGAGATGAGCGCGACACATGGGGTGAACAGGCACATGGGGCACATGGGGCTGCATGGGTGGGGGGGCTTTAAGGAGTTCCACGAGGTGCTCTTTGCCAAGATGGACGACCCCAACGCCGACCAGGCGCAGGTGAGGGCACAGCAGCACATGAGATGAGATGAGCGCGACACATGGGGTGAACAGGCACATGGGGCACATGGGGCTGCATGGGTGGGGGGGCTTTAAGGAGTTCCACGAGGTGCTCTTTGCCAAGATGGACGACCCCAACGCCGATCAGGCGCAGGTGAGGGCACAGCAGCACATGAGATGAGATGAGCGCGACACATGGGGTGAACAGGCACATGGGGCACATGGGGCTGCATGGGTGGGGGGGCTTTAAGGAGTTCCACGAGGTGCTCTTTGCCAAGATGGACGACCCCAACGCCGACCAGGCGCAGGTAGGTGGGAGTTGGGGTGCACACGGGGCACAGGGATGCATGGTTACAGGGGCACATATGTGGGGTTACAGGGGCACATGTGTGGGGCTCCTGACGAGTTTCATGAGGTGCTCTTTGCCAAGATGGACGACCCCAACGCTGACCAGGCGCAGGTAGGCAGTGGGGGGTCTGCTGCTGAGGCACATGGATGGTGGGGCACATGGATGGTGGGGCACATGGATGGTGAGGCACATGGATGGTGGGGCACATGGATGGTGGGGCACATGGATGGTGAGGCACATGGATGGTGGGGCACATGGATGGTGGGGCACATGGATGGTGGGGCACATGGATGGTGGGGCACATGGATGGTGGGGCACATGGATGGTGGGGCACAGGGGCCGCATGGGTTGGCTGGCTTGGGCACATGGCGAGTCACAGAAGGTGCTCTTTGCCATGCCACGGGGCACCACCCCACCGCCTACCTGGTGCAGCTGAGGGCACCTTTCCCGTCCCTTGTGTCTCATGCCTCGCCCTCACTATCCATCACCCTGCCACTCCCTCTCTCCTTGAGGTGGAGAACGCCAGGTGGCTGCTGCTAGAAGGCAAGCCGGTCAGCGATCCCATCTGACCTGGCACCACATGACAATGCAGGAACGGCGCGCTCTTAAGGCGTCTCAAATCTTGCTCCCTCTCAACCCGTTCTCCAACCCCTTCCCCCGCTCTCTCCTCGCAGGTGGAGAACGCCATTCGCCTGCTGCTAGAACTCGAGCCGGACAACGATCCTATCTGGCACCACGTGACCATGCAGGACCGGCGCATCCGGGGGAAAACAACATCCGCCCACTGTGCAGTGCTGTCAACTGATCACTCACCTTCCCCACGCCCTCCCTCCCTCCCCGCTCAGGTGGAGAATGCAATCCGCTTGCTGCTGGAGCTGGAGCCGGACAGCGACCCCATCTGGCACCACGTGACCATGCAGGACCGGCGCATCCGAGGGCTGCTGGAGGCGTGCGTGCAGCAGCATGAGAGCCGCGTTGCCGCGCTCAAGAAGGAGCAGCACGAGAAAAGGGAGGCCGAGGCACGGTGGCGACAGATCCAGCAGGAGTCCAATGCGGGGGTGAGTGGGTGGGGGTGGGTGGTTGTGTGAGTGGGTGAGTGGGTTACTGTGTGGGTGGGTGGGTGGGTTCTGAGACGTCGCTAAAGGCGTGCGTGCAGCAGCATGAGAGCCGTACCGTGTTGACGCAAAGAAAGAGCGTCACGAGAAGCGCGAGGCCGAGGACGGGCCGCCAACCGCAGACGTTGCATCGGACGGGCTGACAGGTGGGGAGGCGTTTGATGAGGCGCACATGACACGCGGCTCATACCTCATGAACAACCCCCCAACCATTCTCTCTGTAGCCTATCTCAGGAGGATGTAGACCTCTCCCTGCTGCTAGGCCAGCCGGCAGCAGACGACTCGTCAGACGGGTTGATGGACGGGGAGGCATTTGACGAGACGCATGCAGTGCAGTGCAGGCGCAGGTCAATGCTCATACCTCGTCAACAACCCCTGCCCATTCTCTTCATACTACTCTCAGGAGGACGTAGACGTGTTGCTGCTCCTGGGCCAGCCAGCAGCGGACGACTCATCGGACGGGCTGATGGACGGGGCGTGTGCAGTGCAGGCGCAGCGTATGCCTCATGAACAACCCCCCACCCATTTCCTCTGTACCCTCTCTCAGGAGGACGTCGACCTGTCTCTCCTCCTGGGCCAACCGGCAGCGGACGACTCATCGGACGGGTTGATGGACGGGGAGGCGTTTGACGAGGCACACACGCGGCTGATGTAGCCCGCTGCCCCAACCAGCGCCCCCCTCCTCTCCTTCCTCCCCACACCCTCCTCCTCTCCCCCCACACTCAGGAGGACGTGGACCTGTCGTTGCTGCTAGGCCAGCCAGCGGCAGACGACTCATCGGACGGGCTGATGGACGGGGAGGCGTTTGACGAGGCACACACGCGGCTGATACCTCGTGAACACACCCGCACCCACTTTCCCATACCTATTCTCAGGAGGACGTGGACCTGTCGTTGCTGCTGGGCCAGCCAGCGGCAGACGACTCATCGGACGGGCTGATGGACGGGGAGGCCTTCGACGAGGCGCACACGCGGCTGATCGTGCGGCTCACGGCCATCCTGCAGCAGCCCCCACCCAATGTCTCTTTACCGTCTCCTACATCCCTCAGGAGGACGTGGATCTCTCCCTATTGCTGGGCCAGCCAGCGGCAGACGACTCATCGGACGGGCTGATGGACGGGGAGGCGTTTGACGAGGCACACACGCGGCTGATCGTGCGCCTGACGGCCATCCTGCAGCAGCACGTGCCGCGCTTCTGGCGCCTCACGCGCTCCATCTTCTCGGGGAAGTTTGCCAGCTTCGCCACCTCCAAGGATGGCACTGGCACGGTGCGTTCAGGTGGTGGGGTGGGGGGGGGGAGAATGGGAAGGGGGTTGTAAAGGAGAATTATCGCCTTCTGGCGCCTCACGCGCTCCATCTTCTCGGGGAAGTTTGCCAGCTTCGCCACCTCCAAGGACGGCACCGGCACGGTGCGTTGGGGTTGGGGGAGCGGTGGGGGTGGGGGTGGGAGGGTGGGGAGGGGAGATGGGTCGTAGAGAAGAGACGGACCACCGTCTGGTGCCTCACGCGCTCCATCTTCTCCGGAAAATTCGCCAGCTTCGCCACGTCCAAGGATGGCACCGGCACGGTGCGTTGAGTGGGGAGGAGTGAAGGGGGGGAAAGGGGGAGGGGCGGGACTTACCCCGTAGGGTGGGTACAGTTGTAGAGGAATATCATTTTGTCTTTTGATTGTGAGTGGGGGTTCGGTGCGTTGCTGCTGCTGCCATGGTGCATTCTTCTTCGCTTTCCCATCCCCGCCTCCATGCCAAAAAGAGGTGAATTTTGCATGCTTCGTGATGTTCCTTCATCCGCTCTCTATTTTTCAGTATTACCCGTCTGCTTCCATCCATCACACCCCATCCTAACACCCTGTGCCCCCCTCCATCACACACCATCCCCCACTCCCCAATCACGCCTCTCCATCCCCCCAGGGTGCGGGGCATGCGCGGGGCCAGGGCGGGCACTGGCGGGGGCGGGGGGGAGAGGAGGGGGGGCGATACACAAAGCACTCAGAGGACGAGGTGCTGCTGATGGTGCTGGGCATCATGGGCGTGTATGAGAGCAAGGTATGTACATTCCTTTCAGAATCCGCCCAGCACCCCATGTCTGTCCGTTTCAGCCAGCTCAACTCGTCCTTCCCTCCTTTATTTCTCTCTTGGTTTCTCCTCGACCTGGCCTTCTTGTCTCGTCCTCACTCTTTTCCAGCCTTTCATCCATTTCATTCAAGTTATCCGCCTCTGTCCCCTCTCTGCAGGTGCAAGCGGCCTTCACACAGCTGGAGGCAGCGAGCTCACTGAGGCCGCACATGCGCAGGGCAGTGGAGCAGGTGGCTCATGCCTGTGCTGCTCTTGCTGTCAGCGACAACGCCCCTCCACAAGCAGGTGAGATGCAAGAAAGTAATCCACCTGACACCACTCGAGGCAGGTGTATGCGCTGCCCTGTAGCACTCCTTCCACCATCACAGATTTCCAGCGAGCTCATGCAAGTCCTTATGCTCATTTACCCCGTTTCCTCCACCATCCTCACCAGTGCAAGCGCTGCACCAGCTGCGGGTGATCACGACTCGCTTCGTGAGCCGGGTCCCCTCACTCCCGGCATCTCAGCAGAGCTGCCAGCCAGCTGCACACCGTTGCTTGTCCCTCTCCCCTGCGTTTTCAGTGCAAGTGCTGCACCAGCTACGCGTGGAAATCTCAGCCGAGATCGTGGCGGACGAGGACTGGCGCCCCGTGCCCTCCGCCCTCGCCCCGTGCCCCGTGCGCATGGGCTCGCCCCACCCCCCACCTTCGCCATACCCCCCTCAATTCCCCTCCCTCTTCCCCCCTCTTCCCCCCTCCTCTCCCCCCCTCCTTCCCCCCCACCAGTGCAAGCGCTGCACCAGCTGCGGGTGGAGATAACGTCTCGCTTTGTGAGCCGGGTGTGTCTGCTCACGAGGGGCATCTCAGCAGAGCTGGTAGCGGACGAGGACTGGCGCCCCGTGCCCTCTGCGCTGCGCATGGGCTCGCCCCAACCCCCACCCTCGCCCTAACCCCCCCACCAATCCACCTCCCACTGCCCCCCCTCTTCCCCCCTCGCCAGTGCAAGCACTTCACCAGCTACGGGTGGAGATCACGTCGCGCTTTGTGAGCCGGGTGTGTCTGCTCACGAGGGGCATCTCAGCAGAGCTCGTAGCGGACGAGGACTGGCGCCCTGTGCCCTCCACGCTGCGCATGGGCTCGCCCTTCGCCATCTCCTCCTTCCCCCTGCGCCTCCGAGACCGGCTGGCGAACGCGTTCGAGCATGTCACCGCGTGAGTTGGGCTTTGGGGGAGGGACTTTGAGGCGACTCAAAGGACTAGGACTGGCACCCCGTGCCCTCGCCTCTGCGCATGGGGTCGCCCTTCGCCATCTCCTCCTTCCCTCTCCGCCTCCGAGACCGCCTCGCCAACGCATTCGAGCATGTCACCGCGTGAGTTGTGTGGTGCATCTTTGCCGTAACTTCCCTTTATTGAAACTCGCATTCTTATTGATCTCGCCCTTCGTCTCTTTCTGCCTTCTCACCGGTGGCTGACGGACATGGCCAGTGCGCAACAGCTTCCCGTGACTTGCTTTGACCGGATTCAAATTCCCCTCCCCTCTCTCTCCCTCTTATCAGAGTGCTCACGGACATGGCAGATGAGGAGGAGCTGATTCCACCCAGTGCGAGGCAGCTGCCCGTGCCGTGCTTTTACTGGACACCACTTATCATCTTCTTCCCCCTCCCTGAACTACAGTGTGCTGACGGATATGGCAGAAGAGGAGGAGCTGATCCCACCCAGTGCGAGGCAGCTGCCGGGGTTCCCAACAGCGGATGAGGTGGAGGAGGCCATTCGCCTCATGTACGACTCCGTCAAAACCACCTTTGCTCAAGCCTTCCAAGACGCCTGCGGTGAGTGCGGTGCAGTGCGGTGGAGTGCGGTACAATACGGTGCACTGCAGGGCAATGAGGTGCAGTGTGGTGCAATGTGGTAATGTGCGGCTGCTGCCGGGGTTCCCAACAACGGATGAGGTGGAGGAGGCCATTCGCCTCATGTACGACTCTGTCAAAACCACCTTTGCTCAAGCCTTCCAAGACGCCTGCGGTGAGTGCGGTGGAGTGCGGTACAATACGGTGCACTGCAGGGCAATGAGGTGCAGTGTGGTGCAATGTGGTAATGTGCGGCTGCTGCCGGGGTTCCCAACAGCGGATGAGGTGGAGGAGGCCATTCGCCTCATGTACGACTCCGTCAAAACCACCTTCGCTCAGGCCTTCCAAGACGCCTGTGGTGAGTGCGGTGCCATGCGGTACAATGCAGTGCGGTGCAGCGGTGCAACGCCAGGCAGACAGCTGGAGAGACCTTTGACAGGGAGCTGTCACCACTGCCATTGCTCATGCAGCCGCCATCAGCAGCGGTGGTACGCCTAGTTGAGGCGCATCCAAGTCGCTCTGTCCGCCTCCCACACGTTGTTCCCCGTGCACCCGCCACAGATGCTCTGATGAAGCAGTCTCAGACAGCCATCACCACCACCGCCTCTGACGCTACTTGCCAAATGTTATTCCATGTCAAATACATTCCTTTTCCCCCGTTTCCCCCTCCACCCGCCACAGATGCCCTCACAAAGCTATCACAGACGGCCATCACCACCACCGCCCCTGATGCTGCTGCCACCAGTGGCGCCGCTGAGGGAGCAGGGGAGGCAGGGGCGGAGGGCGGGAAAGAGGGCGGAGGGGACGGGGCTGCAGCTCCTGCTCCCCCTGCGGCGGCGGTGCCGTCGGCCAATCCCGATGACATCCCGGCGGAGCCTTATGTGGGGCTCAAGGTGAGCCTTATAGCGGGGATGGTGAGGCTTGGGATGAAAAGCTCTTGGATGTTGGTTGTAGCGCTGTAGCTTGAGTCGTTTTCCTCCATATGTATGGGCATGCGAGTGCCTTGGCTGAGAGGGGGAGGAGCCGACCTCAATGCCCATTTACTGAGGCCCAACGCCTTCCCTGCCATTATCTTTTGATTCGCCTCTAAAAGTCATTGTCATCATCCTGCGTATGTGCGTGCCTGCGTTCGTGTGCATGCGTGTTCCTACATGTGTGTGTGTATGTGTACGTGCGTGCATGCACAGGTGGGGGAGGAGCTGACAACAGCGGACCAGCGGCTACTCATGCTGCTCAGTAACTGCGGCTTCTGTCGCTCGGTTCTCGCCCCCTACCTCGCCGATAAATTCACCTCGCTCTGGCTCAACCCCTACAGGTGCGATCGTTATTGCTTGTGACTCTCTCTCTGTATGCTTTCCTGGGTGCCTACGGCTCTGTATGCTTTCCTGGGTGCCTACGGCTCTGTACCCACTCCCTTCGCGGATAAACTCACCTCCCTTAGGCTAAGACTTTAGAGGCGAGTTTGCTGGTATGTTTTAGAGAATGATTCCACATTTGTTCTCCAGTATTCGCAAGGCTGAAAATGTTTCTTGCTGGGTTTCTGGGTGGAGAGTCAAAACACTGTGAACTGCAGCAGACTCCCTCGTATCGAAATGAACTCATTCTTTCATTTCATCCCTCCACCATCAGTGTGGAGCTGGAGATGGTGAGCGCCACGGCCTACCGGCAGGTGCAGGTGCAGCAGCAGCAGCAGCAGCAGCTAGCGGAGCTGAGGGGCGTGCTGGGGGAGGTGGAGCGCGTGTTTGAGGAGCTGGAGGCGTGGCTGGGCGATCAGTACATCGCCATCAAGGCCAACCACCTCGGCTTCGCTGTTATCAAATACTTTCTGGAGGATGGCACCTCGTGGGCCACGGCTCCTCCTGTCCGGGTGGGTGAGCTATCCGCTGGCTTGCTGCATGCGTGTGCGTGTTCCGTGTCACGTACGATCCCGGTATCCTTGGGTTTGAGGAGCTGGAGGCGTGGCTGGGCGATCAGTACATCGCCATCAAGGCCAACCACCTCGGCTTCGCCGTTATCAAGTACTTTCTGGAAGATGGCACCTCGTGGGCCACTGCTCCGCCTGTCAGGGTGAGCTATCCGGTGGTGTGCTGTTCACAGGTGTTTCCCCTCGTGGGACTCACCGGGATGGCACCTCGTGCGCCACTGCTGTGGGGGCCTGCCCTTCTGCTGTCAGGTTGGCTCCACTGTGTGTCTGCTCACTGATGCCTGTGCGTCTGCCTCTCTCCTCACGTCTCCCGTACCCCTCCCCTCCCTTCCCTTCCCCTCCTCATCTGTCGCCCCACCCCAACAGGGTCTGCGGGATTCGGCTCTCGAGCTCATGCACCCTCTCGTGGCCGTCCATGCTGAGGTCAGCACTAGTCCATGCTGAGGTCAGCACTAGTCCATGCTGAGGTCAGCACTAGTCCATGCTGAGGTCAGCACTTTTCCATGCTCAGGTCAGCACTTTTCCATGCTGAGGTCAGCACCTGTCCATGCTGAGGTCAGCACATGTTCATGCTGAGGTCAGCACATGGCCATGCTGAGGTCAGCACTTGTCCATGCTGAGGTCAGCACTTGTCCATGCTGAGGTCAGCACTTGTCCATGCTGAGGTCAGCAAATTTCCATGCTGAGGTCAGCACATGGCCATGCTGAGGTCAGCACATGGCCATGCTGAGGTCAGCACATGGCCATGCTGAGGTCAGCACATGTCCATGCTGAGGGCAGCAGTCCATGCTGAAGTCAGCACTTGTCCAAGCTGGTACTTACCAATGCTATGTTCCACAAGTGCTTGAAAAGTGTATGCATGGAGCACCTACCATCTCGTATGCCCCATACCCATACCATGTGCGTGTTACATGCCGTGCCGTCTCATACCATCCCAACATGACAAACATCCCATGCCGCATGCCCCACATCCCATGCCCCACACACCAGGTCCACGTGGGGTGCAGGCCATTTGTGGACAAGGCCATTAACACGCTTGTGGAGGGGCTGATGCACGCGCTGCACCACCCATCACCTGCCCCATTCCCCATACGCCGCACCGCACACCCCCACACTGCACACCACCACACACCACCCCACACCACTCCATTCACCAGGTGCACGTGGGGTGCAGGCCGTTCGTGGACAAGGCAATCAACACATTAGCGGAGGGCCTAATGGATGCGTTGCAGCAGGTGGCGTACCAACACGAGGACCTGCAGCGCCTCGACGCCAACGCCCTCTGCCAGCTCTCCCTTGAGGTCAGTCCCACACGCGCCCACACGTGCCAATAGGAGTAACCCGCCTTGTGCCAGCTCTCTCTTGAGGTCCCTGCTCCTCCTGCAGGTAGGTTCGCCTCCTTCCAGCCGTCAGTGGAGGTAGGGCAGCCTGTGGCAGCTGTGAGTGCGAGTAAGCTCACCCCGTGCCAGCTTCTGCTCAAGGGTTTTCACCTGTACCGCCTTGACGACGCCTTGTGCCAGCTCTCTCTTGAGGTCAGCCTCTTGCAGCTGCACGTAGGCCCGCTTCCTGCCAGCTGTTATTAAGGTAGGGTAGGGTACTAATGCCACAGCAGCAGTGAGTGTTGGCTCTGATAACCTCTACACTCCACTCTCTCCCTTCTTGACCTCATCTTCTCCCTACCACCCATCCCTCCCCGTCCCCTCCCCCCAACCCCTCTGCCCTCTCCACCCAGCTGGACTACTTTGAAACCGTGCTGCACCCCTTCTCATCGCCAGCACTGGAGGAGATTCTCTTCCAGCTGCGCGAGATGCTGCTGCAGCGCACCCTGCAGGCGCTGCAGCAGGAGGCTGCCCGCCCTGCCAACGCGCGCGCCAGGGCTGACAGTGAAGAGCGCGACAACCACCCGCAGACTGCCGCTGACCTCAAGGTGAGGTGGGGAGGGGTGGGGGAGGGTGGAACTGGGTGCAGGGGGTTTAGGGGCACGACAACCACCCACAGACTGCTGCTGACCTCAAGGTGAGGGGGGATGAAAGAGTAGTGATTGAGGTGGGTCATCCGGACAACCTGCCATAAGTTGCTCCTGGAATCACCATTTTCTTTCCCTCCTCCTGTCTCTTTCCTCTCATGTCCTCCCCACCCGCTGTTCTCTCCGCCTCCCACTCCCCCCGCCCATCAGTGATGGCGGACAACATCAGCTCCTACTTGCTCCCCTACGAGCTCCACCATGTTCCGCTTCTCCCTTCCCCCCTGTTCCTCCCCCCTCCTACTCCTCCCCTCTCACCCCTCCCCCTTCTGACCCTCTGCCCGCTCACCAGGTGATGGCGGATAACATCAGCTCCGATCTGCTCCCCTACGAGCTGCGCCGCACCAAGGTCAACGTCTTCTGCTTCACAGGCAAGGTGCAGATAGAGCCTCCCCCAGAAGAACTCCAAGTCGTCGAAACCCTCCCCGCCCGCCCCGCCGCGCCTCCCGCCGTGTACACCCCCAACACCGCCCCGCCTGCCTCTATAAGCACCCCAAGAGGCACCCCCGGGAATATCAACCGGACGTTTTCGGGATCGAGTTCGGGGTCAAGCGCGGTGTTTAGTCAGCAGTCGGGGAGCAGTGCGAGACGGCAGAGCAATGTGTCGGCAGATCGGCCAGCGCCGACGGGGAGGGGTAGGGGTGAGGAGGGGTACCCGCCTAGGGTGGGTGCGAGGGGCACGGGGGAGGTGGGGACGGGAAGGGAAGGGCGGGCTCGGCGAGCTGGTAGTGGCTCGCGGGCATCCTCCCAGGCCTATTAGAAAATAAAAGTTTGTGTGTGCTTGCTTAGAAGTTAAACTTTTTGTGTTATGTGTACTGTAATTATATTGGAACTCGATCATGCTTTGCTTTGTGAACTCAACCTTGTAAAATCTAGGTTTGGAGCTCTAGTGCATGGCTTCTTTCTTACACTTGTTTAGAGCAGCTGTAGACTTTTATTCAAATGAGCAGTGTACTCCTATTGTGTCACATCTTCGAGCAACACCCCCATACAGAGTGATTCGTTCGGCCTTGCATAAACACACCAACAGGCGACGGCTTCAGTTGTGCTGCCTTTCGCAAGTCAACCCACCTCGCTTCGAAGCCCTCGTTTCCCTTCGCCCTCCGCCGTTTCCGCCGCGATCCCCGGATCTTGTCAGCATGCCGGTCGGCAAGCCTCTCGCGCAGGTTGCGATGAGCGAGGCCAAGCGAATGTGGCCGTTCGTTTTCGGGTTCGCAACGACGGGTTA